CACTTGCCGGCGAAAGTGTCGATCACTTGACCAAACCCGAGCTCCGAGCTGAATACGAACGCGAAAAACATGATTGGTTTCCGCGAAATTACGGAAGTTCGACAAGCGCACACCAAGTTTATTTAAAACCGAGTTTGAAGGGCAGGAAATAATCGGGCTTTGCAGTGAAATGTACTTTTGCTTCAGTACATCAGATGCTAAGTACAGCTGTAAGGGGGTCAATAAGTATACAAATGCGATCGATAGAGACACCTATTTGCGTGCTCTTCGCAGCAAAGTAACAGGGTCCGCGACAAACAGAGGTTTTCGTGCAAGGGGATAGAGTATACGCAGGTGAAGAATGCCTTCGCAAACTTTTATGGTAAGCGGAAAGTCTGGACGATGGTGTAAGCACAACATATTTATAGACATCTAAGTATGATTATGTTTGTATGTACATATTTCGCAATCGTTCAGGTACGATAGTTTATCAATAATCTTTAACCAACAAAAAATATATGGCCTTAAGGATAAAGGAGCTAATTTAATTTTGTATCTATCGGAATGTATTTATCACACAGACACAATCACAAGGTCGCTGTTTATAACGCTATTGCTTGCTGAGGAAATAAATAAATAATTGCGTGTGTGTGTGTTGCAACGCCAAGAACTAAAATAATCGAATGTGTTGCCAACTTTAAAGTATGAATGTTACGAAACACTATCACTTATACATAGAATTTTAGGTAAAAATAAAATAGCAGAAGATGTTTGCTTGAGAGCAGGTGAAATGTTCGTGCGAGCAAAAATTATCCTAAGCATAATGAGAAGAGATAATGGATATTTTGTCACAAATCAAAGTAAGGTAAATATTTCGGTTCTTCGGAAAACATTCATTATTTCTTCCATTAGGCTATGACAGTTTGTTAAACTAGCTGCCGTTGTGTATGTAAAGATGTCATGCTGTGATTGACCTGTTTCCTATAGTTTATCTTGTGGGCAGACTTGTTTAAAGAGAGCAGCTGCCTGAGGTCTCATGAACATTGACCTTTCACGTGGACAGGCTATAAGCGTAAAGAGGAGTCATCCTAAGCTGGATAACACTCGTTCATGCAATTAAAATATTACGCCATCAAAATCTTAGTTCGATAAAATTGCGAGTAAATTTAGTTTAGTAGGTAAAGTAAGGTTCACATATGTATAGGTTGAAGATTTTACTATGATATGTTGATAAGTATTTCAAGTTGTGAACATTTTTAACATTGATCGATTGAACAGCGAATCGACTCGACAAATGCGACAACGCCTTAAATAAACAGAATTTGAGAGCTTGAACGAGCTAGCAATACCAACCCACTCTTCCATAGCTCAACGTTAATTGGCTGGATACAGATCACACCACTTGTTAGATCACGTGTACAAAGATCCCCGCAACCGTTAGTATAAAAGGGTGTGCACAACGGAAATTCGTCAGTGAAGTGAGTGAACGTAGATTTAGTTAAAGTGCACATGACATGAAATTTATTATTTTCTTAAATAAAAGAACTCTTTAAGCTGTAGTGTAATTTATATTTCAGTTTCTTGTTTTTATGGTTTGTTCCCGAGATATTTCAATTTGTTTGATATGTAAATGAGTGTGAATATGTCCGCTAATTTATCACGTCACGTTGGTTGAAAGCTCTTCAAAATGGTTGAATATCACTGTTTCATCCAAGAAAATTACTTCAAACTTCCCTCACTGGTAAATGTAATGCAACACTGGAGAAAAACGTGAACTGATATCTTCAGTTTTTAGAGTTAATACATTTATAGCCAGTGTAAGTTGAGCTTGTAACTTGTGACGTCATAAATTAGCGGACATATTCACACTCATTTACATATCAAACAAATTGAAATATCTCGGGAACAAACCACAAAAACAAGAAACTGAAGTATAAGTTACACTACAGCTTAAAGAGTTCTTCCATTTAAGAAAATAATAAATTTCAAGTCATATGCACTTTAAACTCAATTGATGAAAAGCTACTGAAGCTCAGACAAACTAGGACGAACGAAGAAACGAACAGATCGCGAACGGAGAAAGCCAGTTCAAGGCTGAAGAGAACTTTGAAACAGAACTACTTCAATATTAACATCTAGTGACAATAATTACAAAAGTTGTAACGATTCACTACCTAAATAAAGCCTCGTAACAACAGTAACAACCCAAGAATTCCCGATTGATAATCCACCTAACATAATCTGGTTAATTCAACCATGCAGCCTGGTTTAATTAACCAGGAACCCTGGTTAAATTAGCCAGGGGCCGGTTGTTCAAAGCTGGGTTAGTTTAACCCTTGGTTAACCTAAAATTCGAAGCAAACTTCCTGACAGCTTTTCTATAAATTTGGAAATATTTCTTCAGAGATCTTGTCTGGATCGATAGGAGTTCTCTTCTCTGAAGTTTTGAAATACGCATATGTATAGAAGTACACAAACTAAAACAGCAGGTTAAATTTTAACCCAGGGTTAGCATTAACCCACCTTTGAACAACCGACCCCAGGACTATAATCAAGTTAACCAGGACTGTGGTTAATTGAAACAAGAAATTTGTATAGGTCATAGTACGTATGGTTTCGAGTGGAATTTGGAAAAACATGCACAAGTGAGTTTTTCCAAAGACTTATCAAAATTGCACGAGTCCAAAAGCACTGCTCTTAGCCAGTCAGAAATGAGATATTTTTTCATGTATATTATTAAACCAGAAACAATAAGTTACCCAAACAGTGTTAATTTTAGATTGACCAGGGGCCGGTTGTATAAAAACGTAGTTAGCGCTAACTGCAGTTAAAAAGTGGTTAAAAAGCCTTACAAAATAGTTAACTTTAATCACGTAGTTAAGCCGGTTGTATAAAAGTGTAGTTAGCCTTAACTGCAGTTAAAAAGTAGTTAACGTTAACTATGCTTTAGGGTATAGTTAACTGTCCAAAACGTAGTTAAAAATGGCGTTTGTATAGGAGTGAACAACATTTTTCAGTAAAACAACAATGAAAAGCAACGGTTACCTGAGATTTTCAATCGCTATCTTCCCTGTGAATGTTTCCTGACAATATAAACTCTTCAAACGCTATCGCTTTGGTGTTTTTTACGAAAACAGAACCTCGAACAGAACATATTTTTGCACAGGACGATTTCTCGAAGACGAAGTATGGTCATTACACCAAGAAACACTGATATATAATTGCCAAACAGCTGTACCTTGGTTTAACGTAGACATCTCAAGGAAAAACTGCATTCTTTTATGATTTTTGTGGCGGTTTTTCCTTGTTTTTTTGTTTGTTTATTTTTCACTGTACTTTTCTAGTGTTTTGAATAAATTCCCGCCTATTTGCAAAATACGAGTCCACAATCATGTTGAAAATGTGTGTCAGCGGTCGTTACTCGCTGCTTACTTTATGTAATTTTGTGTTTAAACGTCCCACGCAAGCCCCACGCACAGTTAACTATACGTGATTATAATATAGCATTTGTAAATTCTGAACGCTGATTGGCTAAGAGCCGTGTTGATATAACTCTATGTCAACACGGGAAATTTTCCGCCGCTTGTAAACATGGAAATTTTTCTTATTCTTCGGGCTTTTGACATTGCTATATTATAAAACAAATATAAAACATTTTTCCGTATTGATATATCGTTATATCAACACTCGTGGAAGTTGGGAAAACTCGAAATTGTGTGAAAACACTCCGCCCTTCGGGCGTCGTGTTTCCACACAATTTCTCGTTTTCCCAATTTCCACTCGTGTTGATATAACTGTATATCAACACGGAAAATGTTTTATATTTGTTAATTAGTTAACTATCCGACTAACTACGTTTTGTGCAACGCAGTTAAGTCATGTAGTTAACTAATTGCAGTTAAGGATTTAACTACAGTGATTAACGCGCTAATTACGTTTTTATACAACCGGCCCCAGCAGATTTTTATCCAGGGTGTTTTAGAGTGCGATCAACGTATTCTACAGTACATGCAGCTTACCGTAAAGTACGCATAAAAGATGCCATCACCGGGAATGTCGGTATGTCCTACACAAAACACAAACAAGAGTGGATCACGAATCTAATAGTGGAGTGGATATACAAAATTAAATTATCAATAGACCTTTCCCCTTATGAGTGAAATTTTGATCTAGACAAGCCTGGACAAAAATTTCATCACAGCTTGAAAGAGCATCACAAAATTAGCAATATTCCAAAGTTTCGTTGCGGATAATATAGCCTTGCGAAGTTTGCCGTTTTTCAGTCATTTTGCATTACAAATGGGAAATTGGTAATCAGTTTGATCATCTGATTATCAATTTCCCATTTGTAATACAAAATGACTGAAAAACGGCAAACTTCGCAAGGCTATATTTTCCGCATTTTACAACATTTCGCAACGAAACTTCGGAATATTACTAATTTTGTGATGCTCTTTCAAGATGTGATGAAATTTTTGTCCAGACTTGTCTAGATCAAAATGTCACTCATAAGGGGAAAGGTCTATTAGCTGATTTATTTGTATAAAAGTTTCAAAGTGTTTTCACTAGTTTCTTAGTGTATATAAAGTAATGTATAATCATAAAAAGTTCAAATCATCTTACAGTCTTTTTGTCCCAGGCCCAGTAATACGAAGCAAACGATCCAGCCAAGACACACTGTCCCAACGCTATCACAAAATTCAACAGCCAAAACCAACCAAACAAATGGTAGACTTGAAGACGGAAAATTGTCCTAAACAAAAGCGTTTATAAATTTGTTAGAAAGTACAGTCTAATGCCCACTAAGCAGGACCAGAAAAATGTTTCTTCTTGGCAGTAAAATCAAAAAAAAATTCCTGTGTAAAAAAAATTCAGATAGTGTGCTGTGTACTACCACCAAAACATTTTGGAATTTTAAAACAAGCAAATTGTATTTCAATACAAAGATGTCAGAACATTTTCTGTTGGAAATGAGAAAATTTCCCAGGAAGATATTTTATTAAAAAAATCCTGTTGTGCTTTATTAACAAAGAAGAAATATAATAAGCCAAATCACTTACACTTCACCAGAAAATTTCACGAACACACATGTCTCGTTTTGATCCTTTAAAAAGAAATAAAATTGATTTGTGAACACAAGATTTACGTGTTGTACGTAGAGGTCCTAATAATAGGCAACCCTTACTGGATCTAGATAATCTGTGCAGTGATTTGGGACTTCGCTTTTGGTACAGCCATCGTGAAGAAACAGAAACTTCAGAACTTGAATTTTGAGAAGTGCGTCGATGCGATCGCTCTTCGTCCTTTAACTCTTCTTAATCCGTTCCAGAGAGATTTACAGAGCATCTTAGCCAGTTCAGTTGGAAAATTTCCCAACAAAATTTCCCCAATTAATCAGGGTTCTAAATGACGCGGGCAAATAGACGCTCCTTTACAGAATTCGTTTCCCCGCAAGAGAAGTTTCTTACATAAATCCGACAATTTCAACCTTCCATTCTGAACAGCGGCTACTCAAAAGTTTACAGTTACCATACAGTATTTCATATCATGAATGATCGAAAACGTAACAACATACCTGATATTTGCACAGCGTATCGGTAACAGCCGACTCGTTCTTCTTAAGCTGAAACTCTGGATCTCCTGTGGTAACAAGATAACTGAAAACAAACTAGTTAAGGACAGGTAACATACTAACAAGTTAATACCTGACTAGATAAAGGTTGGTATATCCGAAAACGAAAGTATATACGGACAATAAGAGAAATGTTGAGGGTTTTCACCGATAAAATACACTTTTCCTGGACTTTCCAGAACATTTTCCCAGTAAATTCAAGAACTTATATAAAGGTGGAAAAATCTTTGAGCACCGATTTTGCTTTTTGAAACAATACCATTCATATTCAAAATCAATAGTCTAAATAACGTTCAAACATTATCAATATAGCTGGAAAGAAATTCCACGACTTTAAAGGACCGGTACTAATTTTCAGGGAGTTTCCAGGCCTGGATTTATTCTTTTCAAATTCAAGGACTTTCCGTGGACAACCTTTCCTATTTCCTCTGCCAGAATTTAATTACATCACTGTGAAGAGAAATGTTGTTTTCCTGCAAAAGGATACACACCAACAGCGACGAACCAGGTAAAGACGATGAGCTGGAGTAACCAAGGTATGATTGGAAACAGCAACGTAAACAACATGGACGAAATGGCTCTGCAATGAAACAATTCATGAACATATAGTATATGTACAGTACAGTACAGTACAGTACAGTACAGTACAGTACAGTACAGTACAGTACAGTACAGTACAGTACAGTACAGTACAGTACAGTACAGTACAGTACAGTACAGTACAGTACAAGCTAATGACTGGGGTTTAATTGCTAGGTAGTATTCTACAATATATAAGCTGTCGTGGTTTGTGACTGAACTACCTGAAAAAGATATCTCAAACATGGGGGCCAGTGTAGGTACTGTAGTAATCTACAATAAGCTGCCGTAGTTTGTGTCTGAACTACCTGAAAAATAGATCTCAAACATGGGGGCCAGTGTAGGTAGTATCCTACAATAACCTACCGTGGTTTGCGTCTGAACTGCCTGAAAAAGATATCTCAAACGTGGCGGTCCAGTGTACACTGTAGGTAGTATTCTACAATAAGCTGCCGTAGTTTGTGTCTGAACTACCTGAAAAATATATCTCAAACATGGGGGCCAGTGTAGGTATAGTATCCTACAATAACCTACCGTAGGTTATGTCTGAACTGCCTTAAATGATTTAAAACACTACGTTAAGGTTTTTTCATATTTACAACTTTGCGTGTACGTACCTACTTCCTTCTTTAATCAATGCTACAGCAATCTGAATTCGCTTTCGCAACGCAAGGAGTAGAAGGATAAGTATGAGCAAAAATACACCAAGGATTATAGCTGAAAGATTGTCAGAATAATATTATAATGGTATAATGTATTGGGCCAGCATTTATGGTACGATTATACAGGTACAATGGACCATTTGCATTATAGACTAAATTTTGATCTAGACAAAAATTTCATCACAGCTTCAAAGAGCATCACAAAATTAGTAATATTCCAAAGTTTCGTTGCGAAATGTTGTAAAATGCGGATACTATAGCCTTGCGAAGTTTGCCGTTTTTCAGTCATTTTGTATTACGGACGGAATATTGACAGCCCAATCGGGTGTTGGGGCATCAATTTCCCGTTTGTAATCTAAAATGACTGAAAATTGCAAACTTCGCAAGGCTATATTATCCGCATTTTACAACATTTCGCAACTTTGCAATATTACTAATTTTATGATGCTCTTTCAAGCTGTGATGAAATTTGTGTCTTGACTTGTTTAGATCAAAATTTAGTCTATAATGCAAATGGTCCATTACACACGTAAAAATCTCGCAACTTGTCAACAAGATGTGTTCGCAACAGGCTTGTAGCAAGCTTGTCAACAAGTTGTAACAATGTTGTTATTTTATCAAGTTGCTACAAGGTTGTCACTCACAACTTGTTGACAAGTTGTTGACAAGTTGTTGTATTGCAGGACGATAACAAGTTATTGGAACAACTTGTAACAAGGCTGTTGGATCAACAACATTGTAGCAAGTTATCAACAAGCCGTTGACAACTTGTTGACAAGCTGTGCGAGCACATCCTGTTGACAAGTTGTTGGAACAGCAATGCTACAGGTCTGCTGCAGCTTTGTTACAACTTGTGCGTTTTTACGTGTGTACACAGTAGCTCTGAAACAAGGCAAACTTACTGAAAGCAAGCCATGTTTTCTTGGAGTCTTTATAGACAGAGAGGTCAGCTGTGAAAACAAAATCTGACGATTCGCCTGCATCATCCAATTCCTTATACTTGGTGTAACAGTAATACACGCCTAAACAAACACGAGTCAGAATTACTTGTTTGGGTTAAGTGTTGGAGGTTCGGCGATTACTAGATATGTCTTTCATCTCTGTGACAAAGATTTGATTCCTGCAATACGCAGTTGTCTGATCATACTTCCGCCTCATTAGCATGTGAGAAGAGTGCGTGCACTTGTACCAAACATTGCACGTTTTGTACGTTTTCTCCCGCAGTAAAGCGCTGATCAAACGAGAGTTGAGAGTAGGCAAGCGAGAGTTTGCGTGGGAGTTTCAACAACTCTCGCACCACAAAATTTGCAAACTTTGCAAGGCTATATTTTCTGCATTTTACAACATTTCGCAACCAAACTTTGCAATTTTACTAATTGTAGTATGCTCTTTCTAGCTGTGGTGATTTATTTGAATCTCCTTGCTTAGTTTTAAAATTAGTCTATGATGGGAATTGTCTATTGCAACCAACATAAAATAATGAATCAGCTCACCATATCCAAGCAACGTCAACACAGCATAAGTTGTCAACCAAACCATCAGTCCTGCAATCCATCTGCAAGACATCAAAATGATCTCTTGCAGTAACCTCTGATTATTGAGGAATATAAGCTGGCAGACTACAGACTATACAGATTGGAGCTGGCTGGAAACCTGGGTCGAGTCACATGACTGCTTTGAATTCACCGTAGGCCAAACTGTGATGGTGCATGAGCAGAAAAGTTGTTTTCCGCAGTGCGGACTATGGTCAAGATTTTCACCAAATTTTTTGGTTGACTTTTCAAGTTTGGTACTACAAGGACTGGAAAACTTTTCGTGTCGAACAGTACTCGATCCAGCCCATGCGCTAATATTTAACCATACTCTGTGGACTGTAGTCAGCTATCCTCAAGTCCTTATTATAAAGTAGCCTATACAGTAATTCACTTAGTTATTTTGACATCGTGCACTCTCGCAAACTCACCTCATAACAACGATGTACAGAAACGAAGCCACCAATGCAATGCCGAAGCCACTAGAATAAAGAAATGAGGGGTTAATTAAAGCTACGTTTACACGCTACGATTTGTCGTGTACGATTCGTATTCTGGCGTATTAAAATGAGTGCTGGCGCCATAATTCATTGCCGTTTCGTTAAAAAGAAATTTCAAATGTCGCCAGCTTACGCGGTGTTTACTGAATGACATACGCCAGAAAACGAATCGTACACGATTAATCGCAGCGTGTAAACGTAGCTTAATATTGAAAATCATTTTCGTAAGAAAAAACATTCTCGACGTAAACGATATACTTACGCTAATATCAGCCACCACGAGTTACCGACATCTTCTAGAACCTAAAGTACGTTCAAGTAAATTCTGAGAATTTGTGAGTCAATGAACGTGTGACATGCGCCCTACTTTATTATATTACTCTGTCTAACGCAAGACGATTTTACTTGTCAAAGGGAGAGCCAGTGGGTTAAACAACATAAAAGGTAGCATTTATTTTTAGAGCACTGACCTTCAGACCAACATTTTGCAGGTCAATTAAAGCTTGAACAACCCTATAGAGAACGGAAATAACTGATAAAACCATCCATGCAGTATAAATATGCACTCCCATCCCCATCGAACAAGATCCCAAATGTTGATAATTGTTGTGTTCGTGTAGTGTACTCAGGTGAATAAGATGCTTGTGATGTTACTCTGAGTGTATATCCACACCGGGCAGGCTTGAAAAATATCCCACCGTGGCCAGGCATATTTTTCAAGCCTGCCCGGTGTGGATATACACTCAGAGTAACATCACAAGCATCCCAAATGTTGATATTTAAACATACTTTGATCCTTTCTCAAGACCATCTTTCGTTATGTTTTTGTTATTATTTGTGATCGGTTCATTCTTGTCATTCACGATTTCTTTAATTGAGCTACCGAATACTGTTGGAATGCAGCGATGTAAGACTAATAAAAAGAAGGAAACGTAATTTTAACAATGTTTATTATTAGCATGACAAAATTACTGGATGCTGATTGGTTGAGAGGAGTACAATTATTTCATTAATTGTACTGCAGTACAATTAATGATTTTCCCAAAACAAACAAAATGGCGGAAAGGTATTTTGAACACAATTAAATGTGAAATGAAATTGCCCTTGAGGGACTAGATGAAAATACGAACAAAAGCACCAAATTTTGCTTTAACAAAAGAACTAAATGAAAATACGAACAAAAGTACCAAATTTTGGTTGAAAGTCTGGCAGGACTGGGCATTGGCGAGAGAATATGATGTTGACATTGAGAAGTATCCAATTTTGTCATATGCTAATAATAAACAAGTAATCATGCGATGTTGCTCGTACAATTAGGGATTAATAGTACTCGTGATGTTTGGAAATTTGCCAAATTGGACTCACCCCGGCTGCTCGTCCAATTTCGGCAAAATTTCCAAACATCACGAGTACTATTAATCCCTAATTGTACGAGCAACATCGCATGATTACCTATACTAACTGGACAGCTAAAATATTTCTAAAAATCTAAAATCGACAAAAGCTTTCTTGTGGCTGGCAAAATTTATATATTTTTTGACCGCCTTCGTCTGTAACCATCTTACAAAATCATGGCCGGATTTTGAGGGAAGGTGTGCACCTCCCCTGAGATCGTTTTCCACCTCCCCTGAAAATTTTGCACCTCCCCTGAAAAGTCATGCATCTCCCCTTGGGAAAGTTTCAACGATAGATCAAAGTGAAAATTTAACATTTTTTGGTTGCTTAGTGTCTACACTTCGTAAGAAAGTTTTTCTGTCAAATTGAAACAGTGATGGCCGTTCATCTCTGTGTCAAGTACCCTTTTAATGCAACGTTTTGAAAGAAACTTTGTGGTAATTGTAATGAAGGGCAAAATTGGATGCGTTGTACAGTCATAATTCATCAATACACTGATACATATATGTACATTACATGCATACGTAACGTCGTTGACTCTGGCCCGTTCTAAGCCCTAACTTTCCATGGGGTCGTAAGCTAGACTGCTGCACCTCCCTTAAATTTTTTAGTTCCACCTCCCCCACTTTTTCCACCAAAAACATGCCTTGTGCGAAATACACTTACTATCCTCGCTCTCCAGGTAGTAGGGTGCACACTTGCCATCTTTCACCAGCTTTTCTCTTGACTATAAAATAAGAGAAATAAACTTCATTAAATACAGAATGCCACTAATTTTTCTAAGACAGTTACAATAAATTTAGAAACAATTATAGCTACAGTATATCACAGCTACTACACAACCATATGGAAGAAATTCATGTACACTCGTATGGGCATCTTTGCATCCCCCCCCCCCCACCCCCAGTGTTGGTTGTGACATTCTCTAACCAATTTCTAAACTTTCAACATTAAACGGGGGGGGGGGGCGTGGTAGGGGGGCTGCAGTGCAGGGGGAGTCGGAACTGGAACGCTACAGTACCTTCAGATGAACTGCCTACTGTATCTTTTTCTTGAAGCCAAATCTGACCCCCAGACACGCGTGTTTACATCATGATTGACTGATTGAGCGCTCTTCGCATGCGTGAAAAGACTGGGACTGGCCTTCAAGTTGGCTTCAAATTTCCGGTTGGAGGTAGTTCCATTTATATTAATTTCACTGGGCCATTTCTATTTGCGCACATGCGCGGTCCATGATAATTTTTGCCAGGTTTTAGCTGCTGAGGGTGCAATACTAACAACTTAACAGCTCCCTCTAACAATTATTTTCGTTACTTACACTACTATCGTTGAGACTGCAAGGATCAACAGTACCAGATTTACATGCCATTTTGTTACAGGGTACGTCAGCTCCAAACTCATTTTTGGTTGGACATTTCTCTACACACACCTAAAGAGCAAAATGTAAATAACAAATTCAAAAGATCAGATACGTTAGTATGTCTGCATGGTGAGAAACAAAGGGCTTCGGTGGCGGGATCGTCAGAGCAATAGACAACTTGCATGTTAGACTAATTTTTGATTTAGGCAAAAAAAGTAAATTCCCGTAAAAACTTATTAAAATTAGTAAAATTGCAAAATTTAGTTGCGAAATGTTGTAAAATACAGAAAATATAGCCTTGCGAAGTTTGCATATTTTCAGTATATTTATATTACGTGCGGAAATTGTTACCATTTTTGAGCCGAAAATGGTAACAATTTCCGCACGTAATACAAATATACTGAAAATATGCAAACTTCCGCAAGGGTATATTTTCTGTATTTTACAACATTTCGCAACCAAATTTTGCAATTTTACTAATTTCATTATGTTCTTTTTAACTGTTTGTGTTTTATTTCCTTCTCTTTACTTAGATTAAAATTTAGTCTAACATGCAAGTTGTCCATTAGCGCCTTTTACCCTTGAGGTTGTGGGTTCGATTCTCGCTAGAATAAGCAGATTTAGGAAAATAATATCACAATCAACCTATTACCTAATAACCAAAATTTTGATCTCAACAAGTCTAGACAAAAATTTCACCACAGCTTGAAAGAGCATCACAAAATTACCTGTAGTAATATTCCGAAAAAAGGTATCAATTTCCCGCGCGTAATACAAAATGACTGAAAAACGGCAAACTTTGCAGGGCTATATTATCCGCATTTTACAACATTTCGCAACGAAACTTCGGAATATTACTAATTTTGTGATGCTCTTTCAAGCTGTAATGAAATTTTTTCTAGACTTGTTGAGATCAAAATTTTGTTCATTAGGTAATATAGGTCCATTGTTATAAGGATAAATAGTCTTTAAGTAAGCGTACTGTTATAGATGTAATCGCTATATGTATGTACAGTATAATATATGTATACAGCGAATTCAATTAAGGTTGTCCTTTCAAAGTCAAAACTCAAACCCCCAAACTTCTACCTCTAAGCACGTAAAACACGATGGACATGCATATAGTATGTGATTGATAGTCCGAACACTTGTAGTTACGCAATTGCTACGTTCCACATACTGTACAAGCCGTATTCGCCAATTCAATAGGCAGAATTCATTGGATTTTAAAACTTTTTATAATGTTAAAGAAAGTTGTTTGTGTGATGTGCTTGACTCCTTTGCGAATTAAATTCATTTGATTAGCAAAAATGTGCTAACATGTATGCATAAACAATCTCATAATAATAATGCTTTTCGCGCTTAACGATCAAAGTTTAGCGGTTTTCTTGGGACATCCTTAATTCAATTAGCTGTATTAGGCTATTAGCCATTCCGAAGTTGATGAGTGGACTGGGGACGAGTGTTAAAAAGTGCCCAAATTAAGAAATGAACAAAATCACTAAAAAGACCACCTCAAAATTAGTAAGTATACAAAGTTTGAAGACGTTTACATGAATACCCTTCGAATAATAAGCTTTCGAAAATTGTGAAATTACTGATTAAAGACTGGTTTTGGGACGCGCGTCCCCCAAAACAAAAATGACAGTACATTTCATAGTAAATATCGCGATTTTCGAAAGCTTATCATTCGAAGGTTATTCATGTAAACTCGTCTTCAATTTGTATACTTACTAATTTTGAGGTGGTCTTTTTAGCGATTTGGTTTATTTCTTAATTTGGGCACTTTTTAACACACTTCCTCAGTCCTCTCATCAATTTTGGAATGGCGAATATGTATTAAAAAACAGACAGTATAAATTTTGAATAATGTGTTTGGTACCTGTGTGGTAGGGCAGACGTAATCTAAGCTCGTGAATGCAGATGCAGCTTTTGTTAAGTCAGATGGAGCACATTCAGTCAAATCAAAGAACAACAACTTGGGTTTATTTCTAGAAAAATAAAGAATAGACCTTAGGCATAATGACGTCACAAGGCTTAATGCCCGCGAGGAATTAAACAATTCAAAATGGCCACTGTCGAAATTTTCCCGGGCGATGACTACTAAGACCAGAATTCCTCGCGGGCATCAAGCCTTGTGGCGTCATTATGCATAAGGTTAGTTATCTATGGGATCAAAACATAGCCGGAACAAAAGATTTGTTTGGTTCTGAATCTAGAGTTTCTAAAATATGGCATTTCCTGCATTCTGGGGAAGATTTGACATGCACAAACTCTAAATCATTTCGTTTATTTTGCATTCTGATTGTTCTTTGGGGTAGGCTACGGCGATATATCGCAAATATGGAAGTTAAAACAGTTATATTTTAACTTTTGTCTACCGTAAACCATTATGTTTACTGTCAGTATCGTTAAAGTGGCACTGTCATCAAAATTTTTATAACTTCTTTTGAAGATTTTTGTTCCCATGCTTACTTCTTGAGATATTTCATTTTAAGTTCTTTGTATGTTTGCATGGCGATAAAACATATAATAATCGTTTTGTTTGTGGAAAATTTACGTGGTGTTTCCACAAACAAAACTATTATATATTTCATTTTGTTTGTAACCATGTGACGTCATTTGCTCAATTACATATATAATGAAATGAAATATCTCAAGAACAAACCAATACCGTGGGAACCAATTTTTTCAAAAGAAGTTACTTTACAGTTTTAGGAGTTTTTTCGTTTGAGACTATAAAAATTTTAATGACAGTGCCACGTTAATCTCCTGTTTCTGGTAATTAATTTTTAATGAGCTTTTATGCTTCATGAAAATGCGTTGGTGTGACTAATGTACGTGTTTGCTGCATGAGTCATCGTCAAATTTGCGATTATCTACCAAATACAATAAGTGAGTAGGCTGCCATATGAATATCATTCGTTGAGATCGCGGCAAGTATTCACTATTACACGTGCTTCAGTGGAAATTGGACAGTTTTATCGTTTAAATCAATAATAAACCGTAATTTAATAAATCACGCAAATCCTTTGTGGCCAAATTGGGTGACGGAAAGTGCGGTTTCTTGGGGGTAAGGGCCCCCAGAAAAGCTGGAGAAACAACATCAGGGTGAGAGTAAGGGCCCTCACCGTTATGGACATTGAATCTCATGTCCGAGCCGGGCTTCCCCGTGGTGAAGTGACTGAGTGATGCGAAGATCAGGACGAGGGTAAGGGCCCACGCCGTTATGGATCTTGCTCTCTTTTGCCGGTGTGTGCTTCACCGTGGGCGAAGTGTGGCCGAGTCTAGACAAGTATTCACTATTACACGTGCTTCAGTGGAAATTGGACAGTTTTATCGTTTAAACAAATAATAAACCGTAATTTATTATTTTTATCTGACATTCCGACTTGCAATTTCGCGCGTGTTGAAAAGATTCTAAGCGAGTAGGTACTGTACAGTATATTAGGCCACATAAAAAATTACTTGTTTAGCGTCCACGGTCCACCCATTTCAATTTTTCCAGGTCGGGCGGTTTTTTTCTTAAATTTTGCCTACAAACTCTACTAGTGGGTGTTTCAGAAACAAAATCCTGGAAATTCAGCACACCACCACAGTCAGAACAAATTTTAATATGAATACTGCATTTAAAACAGAAAAAATTAAAACATGGCGTCCGAAGGGTCAGGCCCAACACCTTATCTGCGAAACGGGCATACTCTGGAATCGAGATTGAGTTTGATTGAGTCTGCGTACGAGGCGATTGCAAATGGTGATTGGAGGCCAGGAGCTTTCCTGAGGGCTGAGGCCGCGCGAGGACGCTAGATAAGTTATTTTTATGTGGCCTTAACAAAAGGTTTGAACCGGTCATATAGTACGTTTTACAAATTACAATGTTGCACCATCTATGAATGTAATCATACATTAGAAATGCTACAGTTGTAATTTTAATTCTGTTATACTTACGCATAATCTCCTGTGCCACATGTCTTGCCTATAGAAAAAGTTTTGAAAAAGCGTTGATCAGTTTGTATGTGCGCTTGTAGTAGTCGATGTGTTATAATTACTAGACACACTGGTTTGTTTGAAAAATCTGTCAAACTTGTTTTCCAAAAAAACTTCTTTTAAATGAAAGTTTAACATGCTGTGGCTTACAACATTAAGTTTACCCATCAAGTAGCAGCGCTCTCCCCTTGACAAGTAAAATAATAAACTATGGCACATCAGGGCGCATTGCCACTTAAAGGGTTAAACTTTTCTTCAAAAAGAACATCTTTTAAATGAAACTATAACATGTTCTAGCTTGTAACATTAAGTTTAAAACAGCTAGCTCGTACATTTGTACATACTTGTGTATCTTGAGATATTTCAAATTCTTTATTTTTACCAATAAAGTAAAGGACATTGTCCAGAATTCTTAAGCTAGGTGAATAACTGTACCAGAAAATGCACTGTCAGTATTAATATGCAAAGCGAGCTAAAAGTAGCAATGATGAAAAACACATCTTACAATACCTTCAGAATTAACTGGGTTGATTAGACGGTCTGGATTGCCCCACATGAAGGCTAAAATACAATATAAGTTCACTTGGCACTGGTAAGAGTAGTTAAAGACAAGGGAGTCTCAGTTGATAGAGGGTGCAGATGTTTCTTGGGTTGGGGCATGGGTTATATCACAGCCCATCTAATATTTCAGTATATAAAGGAATTGATGGAGATACATTCTTGGGTGGTTTCGGCCATAGGGTTGCATGTCCAGCCAGTAAAATTCTATCAATGGTTTGTTGAGGGAAATAATATCTAGGCTCACCTGGTTTGGGGGCGGGTCACACCCCTCAGGGTTGAGAGGGTGACAGTAATCAGAGGGTGTACCCCTTTTGGTCAGTCAACCAGTTCATACTAGAGGTTCAGATTAGATTCCACTATCACTACCATTAAGAGACCATTACAGTTGATTTCACATAACTTTTCCCTAAATGTTGCAAACTTCGTTGCAAAGTTCATAATCATATTCACAAACCATTTGTACACAATGCATTTGATTGGCTTAGACTTTTATTTCAGGTGCATACTAAGCTACATTGGTGGGACTGTGAGAGGTTATAGTGGTAGTGAAAGCTCTGAATCTGAACCTCTTGATCACTTGAATGGATTTTTTTATCCCTGATTAGGTACAAAATCAATATACTACTGACCCAATATACCAACAATCGCCATCCCAACAAGATATACGATGAAAAGAATACAACATGGGATATCTGTGCAACTCCTAAGATAGTGGTAAAAATGTTAGAAATAATGCAGTTTATAAAATATATTCAAGAATAGATCAATGGATGAGAAATTAGGTAAAAACCTGTTTTTGATTGGGCCACTAAATTCTGGATCAAATTTCCTTGATTTACCTAGTAATTAAAAACGGGTCATCTTAGGTGGTCATAAAAATCTTATTACTTTTTTTCAAAACAATTTTACAGCAAAATATTCACTAACATAATTAATGTTTGTATGTGTTTATAGTGTATAATTGTCATGGCAATTTTTCAAATACTTTTACAGTGAGGACACAAGTTAATTTTGGATTATACAGGGTGTATAAAAAAAAGGTAATCTAACTTCAGCGCACTATTATACGTGAATCACTCGGCATATGAACAACTGGTTTTCATATTCGGAAAGATCAGGCTTTTAGCTATTGAATGACATGCTTTTCATGCCAAGTGGAGAAAAAATAAGCATGTACGAGGCCGATCAAAAATGTTAGTCAAAATCGCATATTTTCACCTCTGTGCCTAATTAAAACAATGCATAACAAAAGAAAAAGCAATTAATCACGAACGTGTCGTAGCTTAGCTAAGATTTATTCCTACTTAATAATAATTATGAATACGTGCGTCGTTTATTGAAGTAAAATTCACTCAACTTAAGTACCAAAGGGGGTTCATTTTCAATGGTTTTAGACCCAACTCTAAACGGTGAAAATATGCGATTCTGACTAACATTTTTTATCGGATTCGTATTTGCTCATTTTTTGTCCATTTGGCATGAAGAAGATATCATTCAACAGCTAAAAGAATGCTATCTTTCCGAATGTGAAAAAATCTCGTTCATACGCAGAGTAATTGAGATAAAATAGAACGCTGAATTTGGATTACCTTTTTTTATACACCCTGTACATGTGTCTGAAACGGTGGGTCTAGTTAAGATAGAGGCTCTAGTACATGTAAGTGTAGCTGAAATGCATTGTACAATAATTACCGATCAATTCGAAACTTCAACATCCCCCCCCCCCCCCC